ACAGTCCTGTGCACTCCTCGCTCAGGAAACTTGGCTGTGAAAAGAAGACAGAGAGGGATGACAGCAAGGGGTGTGGGGTGGGGCGTGGGGTCGGAATGAGCCTTTAAGAGAATTGCTGGGTACCTGGGGGAGTGCTTATGAGCAGATGGGGAGATGGGATCCTGAGAGGCGGAGGGGGCCTGCCTCTTCTTCTGCAAGGGTGTCAGGTAGGTGGAGAGATGAATTTGCGGAGCTTCTCCTGCAGTCGGCCTCCGTTCTGCAGAGAAGTGGTGGCTTGAAGTGGCCGCCAAGAGGGATGCAAAAATGAGAGGACTAGAGTGAGAAGAAAGGCCAGGCAGGATTAAGAGTGTTTTCTCACTGGCAAGTGGCATGGTGGTTAAGGGCACTGGACTCCCACGTGACTGACCATGGTTTGAGTCGCGGACCTGGCAACTTTCTTTCTTTCTCTCTCTCTTTCATTCTGTCCTTCTCTAGTCAAATTAAAATAAATAAGTAAATAAAATAATTCTTTTTAAAAAAAGGTAAATTACAAAAAAGAAAAAAAGAACATGCTCTCTTAACTGTCCACCCAGCTGGGTGATTCGGCAGCTATGCTCAGTAGCCAGGGACAGAGAAGACGAGGGGGTAGGGCTGACCCAGGGTGAGGTCATTCCAGATGAGTGTGATGCAGGAAGCAGGAAAGCCAATCAAGATGTGACCACGGAGAAGCTGAAGTGATGGGCAGTGAACGAGGAAATGGTGAAGGCAAGAGGGCACGGCCGGCCACTGATGAGGACCAAGAACAGGTGCAGGAAAGTGACGAAAGAGGAGGAGAGAAGTTGGGTCCAGGCATCTCGCAGTTTCAGAAGGACTATGCAGTCTGAGCTGCTTTCATTAGCGTGGTTGCCCCGTTAGCACTGAAGCTAGAGGGACGAAACAGAAGACTCATCAGGACATAAAGAGGGATCCCAGCTGGGCAGGAATGATGGGAGAGAATGAGCGGAAGAGGCAGTTTGTTAGAAACTGGTAGCTGGTCAGATACGGTGCACGAAGGAGAAACCACGCTGCGGGGAAGCAGTTGTAGAAGCTGTTGCATTGAGTTCTAGATCTACTGAGTTTAAAAACAGGAAGCACGGTCCAGTGGGAGGCATGATTAGGACCCCAGGTTTCAGATGTGGTGTTTAGGTGAAAGGTCAGCCCTACAGGGTGACTATGGAAGGGTGTCCTGTGAGTCCCCGAAACCCAGTGTCTGGAGGAGGAGGACATTGTGGCGGTGGGAGGAAGAAGAGCAGCCCTTACAGGAGACATCCATAGATGTATCCTGCAGGCAGGAAAATAAACCAGAGAAGAAAGTTCCTCAGAAACCAAAGGAGGATAATTTTTGCAAAAAGAGGAGTCCCCAACAGTGTGGAGGACAACTTCAAAACATCAGTAACTGAGCAAGGGGGGCCGGCCATCTTGGCTAGAACAGTGTTGGAATTGCTGCAGAAGTCCGTACCAGGGCATTGGGAAAACAGGAAAGGGGGGAGGGAGAAGGGTAGACGCCAGGCCACAAGACCGAGAGATACAAGAAGAGGTGATGGGTCCGGAGGCGCCCAGGGCACCGTGTGGGCACAGCGTGACCCTGGAGCCACACAGTAAGCCCACTCTCTGTACCTATTCACAGGTGAAGTGCAGAGACCAAGACTTTCACTCGGGAACCTTCGGCGGTATCCTCCACGAGCCGATGGCTGATTTGGTTGCTCTTCTTGGTAATGCCTTATTTTGTTTCACTTTTTACACCTCAGAGAACCTCCCACGATGCAGTCCTAGCCGACCCGAGTGCCTCCTGCTCTGTTTTCCAAGGCAGCCCTGAACGTGGTGCAGTAGAAGCAAAGCCTCTGCCCTAGCTCTTCCTGCCCTTGGCCAAACGTCCCTGGGCTCAGAAATGCACCCACAACTCGCCTCTCCATGGATGGAGAATCTTCTTCGATTCAACTGCTTTTATTTACTGTATATTGTGACACATCCAGCCATGCTCAAGGACAAGAGAGTAGCACCCAAGGGATGCAAAAGACCAAGTGGCCAGCCCGGACCCCAATACTGCCTCTGGGATGTTGGGTGGGGTGTTGTTCCCCAGCCAGCTGAACCACAAGTCCACCTCAGTGGACCTGGCTCAGCTTTCCCACTGCAGAGAGATCAGCAAAGTGATTTCTGGAGGGAAGGAAGGAAGCCGGCTGAGTGAGGTCCTGTGTGCTGTGGGAGAGCCCATCCGTGTCACCGTGGATGGGGCCTTCTGCAGCCAAGCCCTGGGCGCTTCTCCTGTGCTTCCTAGCTGGGTTCTGGGCGGGAGCAGCCAGGGGTATCCATGATCGGCCCCAAGCCAGCTGCCTGATGCTGGGCAATTACCGCGTTCTGTAGTTCACTATTCTCTCATTCGTAATAGGCATCATCCTGCATCGAGCCAGTATCCATGATCGGCCCCAAGCCAGCTGCCTGATGCTGGGCAATTACCGCGTTCTGTAGTTCACTATTCTCTCCTGCATCTATTCATCATCCTGCATTGAGCCAGTACATGTTTAGGGATCCAGTGGAACCCTCACCTTGGTGGCTGGACAAAGCGTGTCTGCCAGCGGCTGTGGTCTGCGGGGCTGACGGTGATGGCTGGGGCGTGGTTCTCAGGGTGGCTGTGGCCCTGTGACACCGAGACTCCAGTGCTTTTGCTGATTGTGCCCAGCACCAAAGCCCTGCTCGTGAGCTCCTGGCGTGCCTGGGTGTGCACCTGCACACGGGGTTACACGCCTTCTCAGCCAGCTTGCTCGGGGTTGACTCACCCAGTAGCTCTCCTCTGAGCCAGGCTGCCACCATGGGTGGACTCCCCAGAGGCAGTGTCCACTTCAGGCGCCTCGCTTCCCAAGCCCCTGCTGGTCCTGGCAGGGGTACTTGCAGTCTTATGTCTGTGATTTAGTGCCCTTCTGCAGAAGAGGCTCACAGTTCCGTACGTGCCAGGCTGTCTCCACAGCGCTCACTCTCTGTGGCTTCCCCTCTGCTCTCTGCACTCCCCTGAGTGTTAAAATCCCAAGAACTTCTGGGGCTCCAAGATGATGTCTCCCATGGGCAGGTTTCAAGGGGATCTCTTGGGGGTCCTCTTTGCATGTCTCCAGACAGCCCTGTGGTTGCAGAACTCACATCACGTCTGTTGGATCAGGGTCTCAAGTGGAGATGAGCTGGAGGGGGCGAACCCTTAATCAGGCAAAAGCGCTGAGTTAGAGACCTGGGGCAGAGAGGACGGAGCAAGGTGTGCTTGGCAGAATTGTCTGGAAGCCCAGACCTAGAGGTTGCTCTGTCCTGGTCCTGCTGCAGTACCCCGTAGGGCCGCAGTGGCACTGCAGCTTCTCTGCGAGTGACTGCAAAGGAAGGGACTAGAGGTGCTCCTACTTCTCTGCCAGGAGGTGAGCCCTCTGCCCTTCTCCCAGGCCAGCAGTGGGCAAAGCTCCTTTGTACCCCAAGAAAAATAGACCCCGGTTTAAAACAATGAGAACTGAGATCGGGCTGTTTTCCTGGTGAAGGGTAGAGCACTTACGGCCAGTGCTGCTGAGGTCACGGCCTGACGTGCTGGGACATCTCCCCACCCCACACAAATGGCAGTGCCTGGCAACGCCAGCTCCACGACGGGGAGGGCAGTACTGTGACATGCACATGCGCAGTTCTCCGGGGGGCTCTCTGATGCTGGTACCCGTGCTCACAAACCTGTTTGTCAGAAACACCCAACGTCTCCCCAAGCTATAAAAACTCTGACCACGAAGACTGTGCCCCATGCCCTCTGTGACCTCCAGGCCTGCTGGGAAGGCTGTCATTGCCCTGGCTTGAGCAGGCTCCCTGATGGCTTCTTCCGGTTGGTGGAGCCTTCTCCCAGTGACCCACACGAGTTTCGTGACGCTGTGTCTCTCCAGCAGGGTTGAGAGCAGGTCTGTTCTTGATTCATTTTTTCCCTTTTTAAAAGAGATTTTTGCCATGGGACACGTGTGCTTGCCAGAGAGACAGAAAGTGAGAAATCACCCCTGGGAGGGATGGCCACACTGCAATCTCTTCTCCTTCATTCTTCTCCCAGGATCTTGGGCACACACACACACACACACACACACACACACACACGCCCAGCACGAGTTTTAAGCCGCCATGTCCGGAAATTGAACCGTGGGAGTTCAGCAACGTAACCATTACTCCACCTACTGGTCCTTCCTGATTCATTTTTGTAGCTCTGTCCTTACCCAGAGGATGACAGCTGAAGGTTGGAGACATACATTTGAGGGCGGATTTGGTGACAGTACCATCAGTGGTGTTTTCTGCTCTTGTTTTGAGTTTAGTGAAGGTGAGAGAGGGTGAACTACCCACTAATGACAGTCCCAGTCATTCAGTGCCAACTTATTTTCAGAGTTTTGAGAATATTTGTAGACTTATTTTATTTATTTTTATAGTATGTCTCTCACTGGGCTGCGTGATGGAATTCCCACTGAGGAACCCCAGGCACCATGATCTACAATGCTGTTTCCATAGTGCAGTCAGACAAGAGACAGAAACAGGGAGAGATGCCCTGGGGAAAGGGAGGAGGGGACACAGGACTGAAAACTGGCAGTAACTCTTGCCCTCACAGTGTGCTGCCTCACATCCTCAGGCTCCTGGCTCTGCTGTGATCATCCTCAGAGTGAAGGAAGCCCAAGACACACGGCCCATGCTGTGATCATCCTCAGAGTGAAGGAAGCCCGAGACACACGGCACTGCCACGGCCCGTGATTAGAGGGGCTTTAGCAATGTCTACGCAGAGACAGACAACCCGCGGAAGGGCTCTCATGTGGTCACACCTGGCGTGTGTGGTGGGGACAGTGTGCTCAGCAATTGAAGGTGTCGTCTGTGCCTCTACACTGGCATTGACCCAGGCCCGGGGACGGAGAGAGTGTCCTGTAGCTAAGTACTGAACACATCAGCCCTTGAGAATCTCCAACCCCACACTCTGTAATTGCTGACATTAACCTATAGATTTGAAAATGCAGGGCTCCACAGCCATTTTTTTCCCCCTGACATTGTCAAATTATAATCATACTATGAATAGGGAGCATGTATTTATGAAGTGTATTTACTTGAAGAAAAGTCCCCAGATGGTTGAGAATTGATGTAGTTGCCCTGGATACATTTTTGTGTCATTTATATCAGCCTTCTTTCTGGGCATATTTGATCTTTGATAGGTATTTTCTCCAACTAGTCAGCAGTGCTTACTAAATCTCAACATCTCTCACTTTTAAAAAAAAATTGCTAGAGGGTGTGTGTGCTCGCTATACAGAGACGGAGAGAAGGAAAATGAGAAAACCCCAGTGGAGTATGATCATGCCACAATCCTTTCTCCTCCATTTCTCCTTTTGGGATTTTGGGCATGCATGTGCACATTCCTGGTATGTTTTTCAAGCTGCTGGGTTTGTTCCTCAAACCATGCAGTCACCCACGTGGGCTCCAGCTGCCTTAACCTCCATGCCCGTTTCTGGCCCTGCATCTTCTTCCTAGGTATTCACTAGAGATGGTTTCTGTTCCTCTTGATCAGACTCTTCATTAAGAGCAGACTAGTACATAAGCTCATGCAGTATAAAGGATTTTGTAGTCATGTTGTATTTCTTAGAAACTAGATCTCAAAGTTATTAAGATCTTGATTTAAAAAGAATATTTACTGGGCCAGCAGGTGGCATGGCAGTTAAGGAGCTGGGCTCCACATGGCCAACCATGGTTCGAGCTCAGACCCGGCTGCTTGAAATCATGCCAGGTGTGTGTGCGCTCAAAATCCTGAAAGGAGAGTGAAAGAAAAGGGATTGCAATATGACCATGTCCAATGGAGGGTACTTTTTCCTTGTCTCTCTCTCTCTCTCTCTGCCAAACCCACATGCCCTTTGGTTATATAAGTATATATATAAAATATATATATAATACACACACACACACACATATATATTATATATACACATATAAATATATAACATATATTATGGGGTGTGTGTGTGTGTGTGTGTGTGTGTGTGTGTGTAGGGGGGAGAAGTTGAGAAGGGATGATGAAAATGTTTAGTTTCTCAGGTATGTATATACCTTCATGTGTATGTGTGTATATATTGATATATAGAACATACACTAGATATAGATGTACTATATATTTTAATACTTTTAACGTTGAACATACATTAGCTTTCACTAAGAAGAGGATAAAACTGAACAGAAAACCTTACTTTTGATACAAAGGCATAGCTGAGAACGTGAAAGTGATGTGAGTCATACCAATTTAATTCATTGTGGCCCCATGTTTGCAGCCCTACATTTGATGAGGTCTGGCTCGGGCTGACTACTGGTGACCAGCTCCCTCCCTGACGACTCCCTCTAGGATGGACGTGCTGCCTGCAGCTGTGCCACAGAGCCAGGGACAGTCCTGAAGACTGCTACAACCCAGAAGAGCCACCGGGTCCTGCATCAGGGCCCCCATGTCCACGCTCTTGTCATTTCCAGATGCTTTGCTTTCTATATCGATTTTGTAGGTAGCCTGGTAGACTCGTCCGGTCATATCCTGATCCCAGGAATCTATGACCACGTGGCTCCTCTTACAGAAGAGGAAAAGAAGTTGTATGAAGCTATCGACCTGGACCTAGGAGAATACCGGAATAGCAGTCAAGTTGAGAAATTTCTGTTTGATACCAAGGTATGACCACAAATTGATGATAAGACATAATAAATCATGTTTCCCAATGTCCCATCCGTCACTGGGTGCCAATCCACACGTCTTAGATGCTGGTAGCACAGAGAGTAGATACGGTTCTAGGCAGGGTTTGACTTTCTCGGCTCCTTCCCTGTGGTCTGGACCAACGCAGCCTTTTCAAGAGTCTGGTGCTGGCTTCAGGCATCTAACCAGGAGTGAGCACTCATTTTACAGCTGCTTTTCCAAAGCAGTTTGTTTTAGAGAGATTTTTGCTATAAGGTGGATGCGCTCGCTGGAGAGACAGAGAAACAGAAAATGAAAACTCACCCCCAGTGGGGATGGCTATGCCATAATCCCGTGTCCTGCATTCTCCTCTCAGGATTTTGGGCGTACATGCAAACACGGTCAGCGTGAGTTTTAAGCCACCAGGTGCAGGATTTGAACCGCGGTTGACTGTGCAGGAGTCTAGCAATATAACCGCTATGCCATCTGCTAGTCCCTTCCAAAGCAGTTTATTAACTCAGATCCTGAGTCAGCAAGCTGGGCTTTTAACCTGTTCAAACATTGGGAAGAGTAGGAGGTTATCCCAAGTCCAAGACCTCTAATCATTTACTTTTCCAGACAGAACCAGATTCTTGAGGTCTAATCTGTGAATGAATACATTGCTACCTCAGTGACTAAGTAAACCGAGAGCCAGGGAGTTTTTTACTGGCAAATTTAGATTTTTTTCTTTTCTCCCCCTCCTCCTTTTTAAAATGCTTGCTTGCTAAGGTGTGCGGTAGCTATGACAGGTTCCTGGGGAAATTGCCAAGAAAGAGAAAGGCCGTCCTGAAATGAAGAGGTGGCACTCATGACTCATGACTGCGAAGTGGACCTCTGCTCTCAGGCCAGCTCTGTGATGCCATAACTGAAAAGAGAAATGAGGCGTGTCTGAGGAGCTCTTTGACGTCTTCTGAATAATAGCATCCATTTCGTGCACCAGTTCGCATTGGGGTGGTTGGGGGTAGGAATGTGTAGTTGAATTCCATTTTCTGACCGATATCTGCAAACTGCAGCATTTGGGCCTGGGGAGCAGCTTGGGCAGGCGAGGGCAGCAGAGGACGAAGTCCCCCTAGGGTTGAGTGCGGGCACATCTGAGTAAGGGATAATTAACTTGTCACGGTGGCAGGTGGCATCTCGGATGTGCAGCAGCTGGTGATGCAAGCAATTCGAACTGGTTTTGGTTAACCCTGTGGGGGCCATTTATTTTAATCCAGGAGGAAGTTCTAATGCACCTGTGGAGGTACCCGTCTCTCTCTATTCATGGGATCGAGGGCGCCTATGATGAGCCCGGAATGAAAACAGTCATCCCTGGCCGGGTTATAGGAAAATTTTCCATCCGCCTGGTGCCTCACATGAATATGTCTGTGGTGGAAAAGCAGGTAACAGAGCTCCGTGTCACCGAGGGTGGCCTGGCAACTCCATTTCTGAAAAGCGCAGGTCGCTGTTTTGTGAGGCGCTCTGGCTGCTGCCGCTGACCATCATTTTTCTCCATCACCGAAGGACTGGATCAAATGTCAAGAAACCAGTATCATTTTTGTTCTGTAAAAATCTCTTTCCTCGATTACATGCAATTATAGTCATCAGGTAGATAACCTTTGAAGTTGGAGCGAGGGGAAATTTTAAAAGTTAGATGGTGGGTATACAGGCGAGGCTGCTTTGTGCACAGATGGGGACGCTAAGTGCCTGCACGCGGACGCGGCCAGAGATCTCAGCGCTGGTCAGTAATTCCTTCTTGATGTCCGAAATCGACACTTTAAAAGCAGCCATGTAAATGAAAATGTTATTGGGAGGAGGTGTATGCCTAAATTACCAACCCATCCTCAATTTAACTCATGTTAGCTTAACAGATAGTAGACTGAGAAGTGAGCAGAAGAAAGACCTCAAATCACTTTTGGTCACTCTCTGTCCCGCCACTCTCTTTTATTGTCTTGTCAGCACTCCCTGCCTCCCTTCCTCTGATCTCCTTCCCCCCTTCCCCCCCTATTGGACACAGGCCCTCTGTCCCACATCTGTTCAGGCGTCTGCATAGCGGCAGCTGCAGCACCTGGAGCAGGCCGGCCCAGGACAGGTGCCCAGTAAACGTCTGCTGCAGGATGAACGGACGTGCTGTTTCAGAGGATGCAGTCCCCCAGGACGATCTGCACAGGACCCGCTGGAAAGGGCAAGGGGGAATACGTCTCCCCACCATCTAGCTCGGACTCGCTCTCACTTTTTGGACATTTGCCAATGCTTATGTTTCCCAAAACATCCATTAGGGTGCTGACAAGTCCCAAAAGAGAGAGATTAGCGTCAAGAAGTTGTACCACATTTAGACCCTTCAATAAGCACCACTCAGACACCTCCATGCGTCGGATCCTGTGGTCAGAACAGGAAAGGGGATGGGAACAGGCAGTGCAGGGGTTAAGGATAGAAGAGGAGAAAGAGAAAGGGTTTCTCAACCATGGGGATCCCTGGGCTGCCTGTGGCACGCATGCCCCCTGCAGACCTAAGGTGCTACCACAACACCTGAACTTGAACTTGCTGGATGATCTCCACCATCTTCTTGGTGAAAGACTGTATCTGAGGCAGTGGCTTGGCATTTTTCTCTTACTGTTGGAAATGGTGTCTTTTAGGTGGTGCAGCATCTCCAAGACGTGTTCTCCAGAAGAAATAGTTCCAACAAGATGGCTGTTTCTATGACACTAGGACTACACCCCTGGATTGCAGATATTAATGATAATCAATATCTTGCAGCGAAAAGAGCCATCAGAACAGGTGAGGCCTTCTGATATTTGGACTTGCCAGCTACAGAGGGACCAAGGGGTAGTGCCGACTGGAACAGTGGATAAAGCAGATACATCAAACTCACTCTCTTTTTCTTAAAAAATCATGTATTTTAAAATATTCTTTTATGAGAAAGCAAGAGAGACATGGAAGAGAGAGACATATACTTACAACAGGGACACAGTCTCATCATGCCGTGACACGCTCCATGTTTTAGATCTCCCGGCAAGCCAAACCCTGACCAGGACTGGCCCTGCACTGCTAGTTCAGCTGCTCAGAGTAAGCCAGATCCAACATGGCCTGTCAGGGTTCAAGTCCCAGCCCTAGTGGCTCATAAAACATGCTATGTGCATGTGTGTGTGTGTGTGCGCGCGCGTGCGTGAGCACGCCCAGGATCCTGATGGGATGAAGCATTGGAGGAAAAGAATTACGGTGTGACCTGGCCCTGTCTGGAGGTGCTTTCTCCCTCTCTTCCTGTCTCTTTCTCTGTCTCATGGGTGCTCATGTATTCTTGGGCATAAAATAAAATAAACAGCAGCCAGCCAAACAGATAAATACATCCTGATTACAGTGCATTATTGCAGTGTACTTTAAAAGTAGATAATTATAAAGAAGACGTCTAAAATGTTTTAATTTTCTTAGTCTTTTGTAAAATGTAAATTGCATGAGCCAGTCCCATAGCCTAGTGGGTAAGGGAGTTGGATCCCACATGGCCGGGCATGGTTTGAGTCTTGGACCCAGCGGCTTGAAAAACACGCTGGGCACATGTGCATGTGTGCCCAAAATCCCAACCAGAGGAAGAGATAGAGGAGGAGGGGCTGCAGCATGACCAGACCCCACTGAGGAGTGTTTTCTCCTCCCTCCCTGTCTACCTCTGGTGAGGTCATGTGCCTGCTGGCAATTAGCACAAGAGTATAAATGTCATGATATCAAGGAGCTTACTTACCCAAGGCACCAAATCTAATGAAAGAAAAAAAAAGGTAAAGATAAAGCAAATATCACATTTGCAGAGATATCTGGGGGAGAGTCATGCCATTATTTTATTTAAATGCCTTCTTTTTCTGTGTTTCAGTGTTTGGAACAGACCCTGATATGATCCGAGATGGATCAACAATTCCGATTGCCAAAATATTCCAGGAGATTCTCCAAAAGAGCGTGATGATGCTTCCACTGGGAGCCGTGGATGATGGCGAGCACTCTCAGAACGAGAAGATCAACAGGTGCGCTACTCCCTAGGTGGGGCTGAGCCCTCCCTGCACGCCCACAGTCAGTCTGCCATGACTGAGCTCCCACTCCGTTTACATGAGAATGGAAAGTGCCAGGGGATTTCAAGTCTTTATGGGGAAACAGAATTAAAGTAAAATTTTATTTTGGTACAAAAAGGTTTTGAAATTCATGTTTTTTTTTCATAATATGTACTTTAATGAGCTTTTTTGAAAGTCCATTTATTTCTTCCATGAGAGGGAGAGACAGAAAGAAAGAGACAAGGACCCTCAACACAGTCCTCCCCCTGTGATCCGCCCCAGTCTCAGCCGGTCCAGATTACCGGCACACGCCCGGAACACGCACGCATCTAGCATACTCAGGAAAGTCTCCAGATGTAAGCCCAGGACCTTTCCTGCGCGGGTACAGTTGCATCCCGGCCACATTGTTGCCTGGCCCCTCCATGGATTTTTTGAAGGACCCACGCACTATGGTCTGGGTGGCTTTAAACAATAGACATCTACTTCTCACACTTCTGGAGGCTGGGAAGGCCAAGATGAAGGTGCTGGCTGGTGAGTGCTCTCTTCTGGCCCTCGGATGGCCTTCTCCCTGTGCCCTCCCACGGCAGAGAGAGAAGGAGCTGGCCACTCTCTTCTTACAGGGCGCTGGCCCCTTCAGCCGGGACTGCATCCTTGTGACCTCATTTAACCTTTGTCATCTCCCCATACAGTCACAGCGAGGGCTAGAGCTTGGACACAGATATTTGAAGGGACACAAACAGTACAGAACCAAGCCTATTAGGGATACTTCTGTGTACACTATTGGCAGATTTTTACATTTTTTTCTTGATTCCTGATAGAGTGTGTGTTCCAACACATAAGAATGTAAGAGGGGCCGGGAGAGAGAGGTGAGCACCCTCACGGCTCAGTCATGCCATAATCTCCTTCCACCTGTTCTCCAGCCCATCGGATCCTGGGCACTCATGCATGGGCCCACCCTGCCTCAGGCTGACTAGGCCAGGGATTTGAACCGCAGTTGCCACGTGGGATGAGCCTTCCCTGAGCGGTGTGCTACCACTGTGCCATGGAGCTGGCCCATGGCTTGGCAGACTAAATGAATCTCCTGAGCCTCTGAGACTAGCAAGAGAAAAAAGAAAATGCCAGACTCAGATAAGCATGTCACATTGATGATAAGGAGTCAAAGAAAATGGACCATTTGGGATTTGTGTTCAGGACAGAGTCCCATCTTTTTAATAATGTAACTTTCACACTTGGCTTCTGAGCATCTCATACTGGGATCTCAGAAGTATTAATACTTCAGGTGAATTCCTAAAATCAAGTATTCTTGTCTAAATGATAGCATACTTACCCTCCTTTATTTGATTGGAAATTATAACAAAGTCTCTTTGTTTTCCTTTCCCTAGGTGGAACTACATAGAGGGATCAAAATTGTTTGCTGCCTTTTTCCTGGAGATGGCCAACCTGCATCAGTAGTAACAGGGACCCTCCAGTCGAGTCTGACCCCGGACAGATTCCTCTTTCCCATATCCCTGCACAGAATGGAGCTTAAATAGCCATAGAATTTAGGTTCAGTAGGGCCATCTCCCCTCCATTTAAAGTGTCTTGGGACCTTTGCACCAATAATAAAATCTTTTAAAGGTGCAAACATTGGAAATGGTTGCATGTCTCCTGCTGCATACCATCCTAAGGTCACAGCTGTCTTCAACAACTTGATTTCCCCAAGTTAGCATTAGCCTCGGGAGGGGGACTCGGTGTAACCTTCTGCATCGCCAGGACAGTTCTTCAGCTGACCAGACTTCAACCTTGCAGCTTGACTGGCATAATCACTCCAGTTTGCCTCTAGGTCCAGAAGTGCCCACGACACATAATCATCCTGTCCAACAAGTGCCAGCACTGACTTCGCTTCTACCACACTTTCCTTTATCTTATTAATAAAACGTTGGTTTCCACCACTTACTACAATGATTTCCCTGTGGATTCATTTCTGTTGGAGTTACTAAAGTGGGGACTGTATTGACCTCTTGCCTCCCTTCATTTTTCCTCACTGAAGCTGAAATGATCAAAATTAATACTCTTACACCATTTGGGATTCCTTGTGCAAAGATTAGTTTTTGTTTTTTCTTCCCAAGCTTCTTTACCTTCATTGTGATGGAGTTCACCTGATTATCCCCCCACCTCCCCTCTTTCCTATCAGACCCCTGCAACATCTGTGCATATGCAAATCCACCATAGCAGAATTAGTCCTGATAGAATTTCTCACCCCGTTGGAATCTTACTCAACAACTACATCTGAATTGCTCAAAGCTCTTAATAGCATCACTTTGGACAGAGAACTAATCAACCCTGACACCAGTAACACATTCTAAATTTAAAGCTATCAGCTAATACTGCACTCATTAATCATTTGAGTTAACCATCTCGTTTGGTTCAATTGGATTTGATGGTATAAACAAACAAAAAAAGAATGCAATTTTTCTACAGTCCAGTGTATATAAACAAATCAATTCCATCTTTTCAAATTCATTATTCAAATCATGTTAATGGAGAAGAATTTAAGAGTTTATTAAAAATGTTTCTCTTACGATTCCAAATAGAAACAAACCACAATAGCATAACACATTTGCCTTCAGCTTTTTTTCTATTTTTCTGTTGGTTTGGGGCCAGCAGGTGGCATGGTGGTTAAGGTGCTGCACCCACATGGTGGACTGCGGTTTGAGTCTCAGACCTGGCAGCTTACATTCTCATTTTCTCGCTCTCTCTCTGTCTTTCTCTGGTGAGTGCATGTGCCCTACAGCAAATTAAAATAATAATAATAATAATAAATACAATTAAATAAATAATTCTTTTTTAAAAAGTCAGTTTTTTAAAAGAATTATCTTATTTAACTTTTTAATTTATTATTATTTTCTAGTTTGATCAGAGAGAGACAGAGAAAGAGAGAGGGAAAGTGAAGAAGTAAGCTGCCAGGTGGGGGACTTGAACCACAGCTGACTACGTGGGAGTCTAGCACCTTTAACTACCGTGCCACCTGCTGGTCACAAAAACGTCGATTTTAAAACTTGTGGCACTACATTTCAAAAGACGTCCCTGCAATCAGTGATTCAATTTACCTTGACTCTAACACAGACGTGGACAACTGAGGAATCAACGTAGCTGGGAGCATTCATGAAGGAGCCCAGTTAGAACATGCTTTGGAAGCAGGACACTTTAAACCACGATGTCCTCTCATGTCCTCTGTCAGATACTGGCAGGTGTTTGATATTCTGGGCTACTTGGCGTAGCTTGTGCTCCTTGGGTGACACTGGATTTGTGGCATTTTACATTCTGCTGGACCTACCGAATGCATCTGACATTGTTCCCTGAGACTAACAGTGCAAGAGAGTCATGTTACTAATTTATATTTGTAAAAGGTATTCAGGGCCAGGGCCAGGCATACTGATTAAGGTGATTAGATTGCACACGGCCGACCAGCTGTGCACTTCGAGTACTGGACCCGGTGGCCTGAAAAACACACTGGGCACAAGTGCAATGTGTGCCCAAACTCTCCAGAGAATGGAGGAGAAAGGACTGTAGTGTCGCCATGCCCCTGAGGGGAAGGTGGGTTACTTTTTCACTTTCCTTCTTCCTTTTTCTGGGGAACATGCATCTTTACAGCAAAGTAAAAAGAAATTTACAAAAAGGTATTCACATTAATCAATTGACGGAAGCCTATTACAAGATATATTGTAACTAATCTGAGCAACGTAACATCAGTTTTAAGAAGTCACTAAACATTAACATGAAGATCCACGGATCTTCATTCAACGGGGTACCATGAAAGAAAGGAAGGGACATGTGGAGTTCCTGAGGCTGTAGACTCCAGGAGAGCCCAGCCTTGATATGTCAGCACCCAGCACCCATCTTTCCTGACATCCAGGCTCAGCGTGGGCCTCCCAGCCTTTCCCTCCAGGTTTTCCTCCCAACTCCAAACGAGTGATGACCTCGTCCCTCCTGCTACAACGTGGGAGCCAGAAAGGAGGACCCCTCCATGTTCAGTTCACCCCATTCTGAGTAAAAGAAATCCACCCAGTGAGCTTAAAACCCTGCTGTGCTCAGGTCAGCTGACCAGTTATAAGGAGGCAAAAATGTTGGTGGAGAGAGAAATTTAAAAATGTGCTTTTAAAATTTACATCAAGGAGACACATGAATGCGGATAAAAATGGTCACCCCCGTGTGTATGGGGTATGCTGTGCTAGTGGGTCAGGAGGGGTTTTACACCACTGGGAAGGGCCGTGAGCCAGGGTAAGCCAAGCACTAGACGAAGAGGATCAAGGTCTAATTTTTCATGTGGATAGACTTTGGTAGGTTCTTCCATGGAAAATACTGTGAGCTGAAATGTGTTGGTTTTTGTGTTGTTTTCATAAAAAATAAACATACTGACCTGCAAATTTCTTGTGCACGTGTTCCAGATGGTCTGAGGGCCCTGGTCACGGACACTTCCTCTGTACTTGCAGCTGGGGGAGCGGAGTGAGCTGGGACCCACGGAGGGTGCACTGCACTCTGGCCTCTTCTCTCTGTGCACACTCTTCTGGGCATGGCACCTCTGTGGCCTTTGTGTTAGCCGAATGCCGTGACTCGCAGCCCCTTCTTCTGAGAACCAGACCTGCTCATCTTCCTATTTGATATCTGGAATGCCACTCATCAAAAATGGAAGGCTCTCCCATTCTCTGAGCCTGGCCTGCCTCTGGGTGCCCTGCCTCAGGAAAGGGGCCTTCGGCCAGGTGGTCGCAGAGCCCTGGGTACCCTTGCACACTCCTTCCCCTCTCGGACCCAGTTCATTTTCAAGGCCAGTTGAGTCTGGCTTCCTTCTGTGTCCACTGTCACTTCCCAAAGCCACGGGCTGAACCCTCCGTAACTTCTGCTGGGCTACTGCAACAGCCCCAGCAGACCCTTGGCCGACTCTCAGCACCCCTCCATCATAGTGCTGCACTGCGGCTCGTGCGTCCCTCCCACCTCGCTCAGAACCTTGGCATGCCCATGTGGTTCTAGGACCAGGGCCGACATCACAAGAGGGTCTGCCAGTTCTCACATCTGCCCTCCGTTTACTCTCCTGGCCTCACTCTGCCCTTCCTTGATGAGCCCTGACAATCCCATCTTTGCAGCTTCATAACCAACCAAGAGTTCTCCTGCCTCTGGGCCCTCTAGTGTTCTCTCTTGGGTCCTCTTCCCTCTCCCTGGAACACTCTTATTGCCCCCCTTGGCTCAGCTAGTCCCCCTCTGACTTGCTCTCTGCCTTGTTCTTCAAATCTCAGCTTACTTGCGATCTTTTAGGGAAGCCTTTTTGGATCCCCAAAGTAATGTATCCCTGTGACACCACCATAGGCTTCATACATCTTCTGCAGCATTTATCATTGTAATTAAGTACATATTTCTTTTTTTAAATTATTTGATTTTATTATTATCTGAAAATTTGCTATAGGGCATGTGTGCTCACGAGAGAGAGAGAGAGAGAGAGAGAGAGAGAGAAAGACGGAAAGTGAGAAAGCAAGGTCTAGGACTTGAACCGCTGTCAGTCATGGGGGAGTCCAGTGTCTTAACCACCACACCACCTGCTGGCCCCTTAAGTACATATTTCTATAATCAGAAATTGCCAGCTCTCCTGCTGGACTGTAATGTTAAGGGTAGAGGTCATGTCTGTTTTGCTTGTTGTGATGTCTCCAGAGTCCCAGGCCTATCGCACATCCTCAGGAAGCATCGGGAAATGAAACGTGAACATTTCAGCACTTCCTACAGGTGTACACGCTGCCTTGGACTTCCATCACGCTTGTGCATCCAGCTCTCTCCTACAACACTGCAAGCTTTGTCACTTCAAAGGCCTGCCCAGCTCACCTCTGCACTTCAGGCATCCAGAGGAGTGCACCAATGCAAGAGGAACTCAATGTTGGCTGCTATACTCTTCCTCCTGATTTTACAGCTATAAATTTTGGGGTCTCCTTCATCAGGCCTAGTATTCCCTTTCGGGATTTCTTTTTTTCTTTAAAAAATTACTTTTTTATTTTTATTTATTTTGGCCAGGGAGGAGTGGGAAAGTGATAAAGCAAGCTGCCAGGACTGGGACTTGAACTATTGGTCAGTCATGTGGGAGTCCAGCACCTTAACACCACATCACCTGCCAGCCCCTTTCCTGAATTTCTATGTTTTCATTTTTGTTTCACATTGTTCCTTGTTTAGAACTTCCTCCTTCTCCTCTTCTTCTTTCTTTTTTGCTAGAGGACACTTGGGCTCCCCAGAAAGTATGGGAGAGGTAAAAGCAACCCCCATGGGGCATGGTCATGCCACATCCCTTCTCCTCCATTTTACCCTCCTTTCAGAATTTTGGGCATATGTGCACATGGGCCTGGAGATTCTCTTTTTTTCTTGAGAGAGATTTTTACTATAGGGTGTGTGAGCTTGCCAGACAGAAAGCAAGAAACCACCCCCCACAGGGGATGACCACACCACAATCTCTTCTCCTCCATTTTCCTCTTGGCATTTTGGGCACACACACATGTGCGCCTGGCATGAGTTTAAGTTGCTGGGTCCTGGATTTGAACCATGGTTGACTATGTGAGAGTCCAGCAACGTAACCGTTACACCATCCTTCAGTCCCAATGCCTGGTGTTTCCTTTCCTTTTCTTTCTTTATTTTTAAATTTGACCAGAGAGGGACAGAGTGAGAGAAAGAGGGAATATGAGAGAGCAAGCCACCAGGTCTGGGACTTGAACCACTGTTGGCCATGTGGGAGTCCAGTGCCCTTAACCACCATGCCACCTGCTGGCCCCATCAATGCCTGGTATTTCTTAAGCCATCAAGTCTAGGACTCACACTGTGGCTGCCTTAACCAGCAGGCCAGCGAGCTGGCCCTGGAGCTTTCTTGGTTATGGAGAAAAGAGCACAAAACAAATCACACTGTGATGTGGCTACCAGCTAGCTGCTGG